ACACCTTTATAATCAAGAAAATACCTTAGCTTCAAACTCTCTTCAGATTAATTCTTATTCTTCCATTAAATGCAAGTACACAATAAAATTTATGCACCTTGTTTTATTAGAACAAACTTTTCTTTAATAATTAAAAAGAAAGCCATATTCAGGTCAAAGCTTCTCAAACTTTTTATTTTTAAATATTACTTAAAAACATCACTTTCCCAGGAATGGACCTTATTATTAAGAAATGCGTAAGTATATACAGGGTGATATTCAAAATGTTTAACAATGGTACTGTGTAGTCACGCTCCTTCAGAAGAGGGACAGCCATTCTGGTGTTTACCAGCTCAGTATCAGTGCCAGGTAATAACCCAGCTACTCTTTATTGACTCCTAGCTTCATATCACAATCTATAGTAAATACTTTTGTGTACTTTATCTCAGCATAATCTTTACAACAATCCTATAAGGTCAGGATTTTATATTTTATATTTATCTAAAAATAACAGCAAACACATATATATATCTCACTGGTACAGGTTTAAGTTCTTTAAATAATTCAATTCATTTAATGTATTTATTAATATATACTCCAAAAAGTATGTGCTCTTATTAATCCCATTTTACAGATAAGTAAAAGGGACACAGCAATTTGTCCTAAGTAACATAACCAGTCAGTTACACACCAAGAATTTGAACCCTGGTTGTGTGGCTCTAGAGTCTGTGATCTCAGCTACCATGCCAGGCAGTCCCCACCTTATAGAGGAGGAAGTGGGAGCTGGTGAAGTTAAATAAGTGGCCCACGGACACATGGCCTTGCAAATCACAGAATTAAGCAAAGACCCTCAGGGGTCTGGCTCAAGAACTCCACAGCCAGCTCTATTCTGTTAGTTCTGAAGATACAATGCAGTTTTTAAAGTCAGTTCATTCATTTTGGGGATCTGGTCCTTCTGAGGTGAGTTTGTAGAAAAGAGAAGGTAAGTCATATTTGTGGTTAACATAAAAATTATTTGATTGATACTATGTATATATGACTAAAACACAAGATTATATAATTTCTGTAAGTATCTAGGTAAAACATATCTATATGATACAAGACTTATTTAATAATCATTTGCTCTCCTGTTATGTGGTCACAGCCTTTCTGTCCAACCCTGAACTTGAGCTTTGTGTTCACGCTGCATCCCCACTTCTGCTGAGGAATGAGCCCATGCTCAGCAAACACCAGGGGATTAGATACGAGGCCACCAACTGAACTACGCGAGAAAGAGCTCTCAGAGAAGATCCACGCATCACTATCTATAGCTCACAAGCAGACAGTTTTGCTAAAAGAACCCAGATGTGAAAGAAGGAATTACTTAGTGGTAATTCCACTAAGAAGTTTTAGTCTTGAAAATGGCCTTTCTCTCAGCTCTTTACTGGCCTCCCACTCCCAAGTATCCTGAAAGCCTTCTAGTCACTGAGGGAAGCCTCGACAAAGGTCTGTCTCACAACTGTTATGCTCTAAAACCCTCTAAAGGTGAGGCTCCAAGGTCATGAGGTTCCTCCAGCTCTACCCCTGCCAGAAACAGCATAGGAATCCCCACCCAGTTAGTACTAAGTTCTATTTTTTATACTGCCTGAAACACTGCCTTAAACTGCTCATAGGTATAGTTGTGCTGTTTAAGTCTTATCGGCCATAAATAGTTTGTGATTTCCTCTAGCAGGCCAAATGATCAGGCAAATAATCAGGGAAAATCTAGGCAAAGTTCCTGCCATAATACAAGATACTAAGAAGATGAGGTCTTCATAGAAATATCAAGTTTTCCCTTTCTTAACTTGTCCAAAAATAAAACTGGGCATCTCATGATATACATTAGCTATAGTGATATCCACATATCATATATACAGTACAAAATCAAGAACTTGACTTAGCTGTAGCTATGTATATATACATCTGAACACACCTATCTATATGAACACTTGTAGTATATTAATATATTTCATAAAACAAAAGGATTTTAGAGTTAAGAAAGATCTTAGGAGTTCTCTAGTCTTGTTCATTCAGTCTTTTCAGAAATGAAAAAATAGGCCCAGAGAAGAAAAGTGGTGCACCTACAATCAAATCATGAGGATGATGTTTCTCAAAGTGCAAAATTCGGCATTAGAATTACATAGGTGATTCGCTGAAGAGGCAGGTTCTTGAAGAGCACATCAGAATTCTTCAGAACATCTGAGTAAAACCTGGGAAACTACATTTTAACAACCTCCCAGGTGATTCTTAGGTAAATCACATACTTTGAGTTTGAAACCCCCTGGGCTAACTCACAGCAAAGCTAGAAACAGAGCCCAGATTTCTTGACATCCAGTCCAACGCTCTACTCTAATCATGCTGTTTTAGACACGTTGCATGCAAACTATACTAGTAACAACAAATTAAAACAGGAATATATAGCATAGTGGCTAAGAGCACAGGGCCTGAAGCCACTCTGCTCAGTTTATATTCCAACTCTCCCCCTGACGAGTTATATCACTTAGGGTAAGTTACTCAACTCTCTGTGTCTTGATTGACTCATCTGTGCTAAGGGTAATAAGAGGACTACCTCTTCAAGTTCTGTGAGGATTAAATTAGCTAATGCACGTAAAAGGGCTTAAAATACTGACTGACATATAGTAAGCACTTAATAATACTTTAATGCTGCTTGAAAATGATCATCAAATTTTTTTTTATTTTCTTTTTTGCATTGGGGAACCTCAACAGCACCGTAACTGTAAAGTGGCCCTCAGTCATAATCTGACCCAGTACATGAGCTTGAGCAATAAGGAGACTTTAAGACAGCTGAGCCATATAGGAGTTTAGATGGCAGGGTTTTTGTTTTGTTTTGTTTGTGTGTTTTTAAATATATCTTTCTTGATTTCAGAGAGAGGAAAGGAGAGAGAGAGAGAGAGATAGAAACATCAATGATGAGAGAGTCATTGATCAAGCCTGCAACAGGGCATGTGCCCTGACCAGGAATCGAACCCCGATCGCCTGGATCCTAGGTTGACACTCAACCACTGAGCCACGCCCGGCTGGGCTAGATGGCAGGGTTACAAGTTACTTTGATGGTCAGAAAAACTTATTAAAATCTCACTGCTATATGGTTAAAATGACATATTTCAACTTATCATGCCATGTCAACATCATTCCCAAATGAAAGTTAAAATGCATAAATAGACTTAAGTTTAATTTACATTCATATGCAATATGACAAGAACTTAGAAGACTGTGCTAAAAGCATGAAGATAAAAATAGTAAAAGTGGTAGTAGTAAGACTCGTCACGCTAACAGTTAGCATTTATGCAATAATGTGCTAAACACTTAGTGCATATCATCTTAAATTCCTAAAACCCTATGAAATATACAGGATTTTTTCTGATTCTGTAAGTCAAGGACATTAAGAAACTTACGCAAGGATACACATACAGTAAGCAGAACAGGGATCTGAGGCCAGGTGCATTTGTCTTCAAAACCCATGTTCTCAACTATTAAAAACTATGATCACTTCCTATATTAACCAAATTCAACACTTACCCCCAGAGGCTTACAGATGCCAAGGCGGACAGTACCTGGCGGCACAGCTTTCAGCACTTCCACAGCATCAGCAAGTTTGGTGTTGTCCAAACAGTACTGATTGACTGAGACTAGGCGGTCTCCAGGCAACAGTTCTCCACTTCTTTCTGCAACACCATCGGCCACCAGGGAACGAATCACAATCACCGACCTCGTGGAATCTAAGGGGTCCTAAAGATCAAACAAAGAAGAAAGATGAGTCAGCTCCAAAAACAAATACGTCGCCTTAAGACAGTTTACGTTTACTCTTGCATCTCACTGACCTGTTTACTTCGTGTGTCTGGCATTCTGGTGATACTTTTCCAAAGAGACACAGTCTATTAAGCTATCACTCTAAACATCCACACAGCTATCAGCCCGTATCAAGGTGAAGACATAACCTTAACAATTTCAAAAATTGCATGTCTGAGTGCTCCCTACATACACATTCCTTTTTTAAACTTTTCGTGACATATTTTGTTGTATAACCAGAGGACTAGGGACAACTGGGAAAGATTCCCTGACATCCTCAAGTACAGTCAGACTATGGATCAAAGGTAAGCCCACCTATTATTGCTCTTGGGCAGTAAGTAGGTGTCATGAGAAGTATACTATACGATACTCTGTTCTTGGGCATTCCACCAGTACAGAATCCTCCTGCTAAATCACTTAAGTTAAAAAAAAGATATGGAAACCATGGCATATCCCACTGCATTTAAAAAGTATGTTTAAAAATCACATATCCTAAAATTATGATAGTGTAAGCACCCCTAGGTGAGAACTATTTATATGTAGAAATACGCAGAAAATGAGTATCGATTCATAAACAAAACTGATGTGCAAATCTCTCTCATCCATATTTCTTTTCATTAAGCACTGAAGATAACATTGACATAGATTACATTTGGTTAATAAGAATCAAGTTACAACCCCACTATTATTTCTTATTTTATTCAACAAATACTGATATATAACACTTACGTATGTCGGGTTCTGTTCTAAATTCCTGACAATCATTAATTCAACTAAGCCTTACACCGAATTTTAGGATGTGGGTAGATTTATTGTCCATATTTTACAAGGCAACTGAGGGTGAGAGAGTTAAGGAGACTGGCCAAGATCACCCAGCTGGTTCCTAAGCCCTCACTTTCGACCACCATGCTCTGCTACTTGCCCTGCACCAGAATAACAGAAGAAACTGGAAATACAGAGTCGTGAATGCAAAGACATATTTACATGGAAATCTTCTGGTTGAGAAGAATCTCTTAATCTGTCCTAACGGCGGAGGTATGTGGTACTATCACTAAACCTCAACCTTAGTAAGGGAGAGAAAAAAGAATCCCGATGATAACAGCACTTGCCAAGTTCTGGGCTCTCTGTTTGAAGTGTCTAATGGTTCCTTTGAACTTTTCTGATCCAGTTTCCTACACCTCTGTGTTTCAGACATTAAGGTTCATTTTCAAGCACTCCACGGAATTTTAAACAAATAGGCCATATTTGAATCAACAAAGGCTACACAACTAATTCCTTGAAAAATGCCTTCAAGCAACTTACCTTACTTTCCTTAACTAACCTTGCCTTTCCACTCCCAAGTCGAGAGATTCTTGGTAAATTTCTAACATGCTCTGACGTATGTGCCACCACATGTTTATGAAGGGGGTTGAAAGTATAAGCCGTCACGGGAACTCATTAATAAAGTATATAGTGTCAAACTATAATTACGCCAAGGTTTTCAAGTAGAGGGAGCTATTGCATAGGAAGAGAACAGAAAAGCACCAAAAAAAAAAAAAAAA